TAGTGCTAGTAAAATATTTTTCTTTACGAAATGGTAAAACGATTAAATAATTTAATTACAAATAATAAATTATACAAAACAGCAGGTATGTGACTTTAATAATACATATATTTAGCGATCCAAATACATTTGGCGCTACATTAACTTATATAGCAGACTTCCATTTATTATTCATATTTTGGTGAATGGTAAATTCTCATGATTAATGAGTTGATAGTTTGAGACGCGTGCGCCTTAAGAGAAGCCACGATCGCGCTTGCCGGCAAAGTACGGTAGAAGAGGCTGCATAGCAGAGCATTCGGGCGTGGTTTTTCAACTGGTTACATTGCTCATGGGAGGCAGTTTAAGAAACTCTTCGGAGGGTCTCAATGGAATGGCGGGATATTTTTGAATAATAAATTGGATTCGTGGCAGAGGTGAAAATATGTGTCATTATGCTGCGAACGATCATACAATTAGCAGAATACCAAGAGTTGGCTAGGAAACGTTGTTCCATTCGTTAAAGAAGTTGTTAACGAGTGATCAAGGCCATTTTAAATTAAATGGCACGCCGGGGAGCGGTGACGTCACGGTTTAAACGTCACGACGCAAAGGCATTCACATCATCGTTAGCGTCAAACTATATTGTGAGTTTGCATACGAATTATGTACACCCTGTATCTGAAACGTCATTGAGAACTGTTCACCGGTTAATATTCAACATTTACGGACACAAGAAAAAATTACACTTGTACACATAAAAGCTCGTGCAATGCAAATTCTTCCAACATACACGTATTTTTTATTCTTTTCACATTTTAAAAATGATTTACTATCATTAACTATCATTTATGTTAATTGGAACTATTTGTTTGTCATATACAAATTAAACCAAAAAAAACTACGAACTCTACAATTGCCATACAATGTATCATCAGTGAGTTAAAAATTCATTTCATAGACGTACACGTACATTGATAATATACATGCTTTCGGGTGGAGCACTCTAGCTATGAAAATGTTATGATTAAAGTAAAATTCTCACAAGATATAAAATGAGCAATTAACAAACTAAAGCAAAGAGTAGTGCCATGCAGCCCCGCCTAGATGGGAAACTGGTCTTACTTTATACACTGTTAGTCCTGCAAGTTCTAATTGTTATGATTTATGTCGCTACAACTCCACCTTCTGAATTAACTATATCCACAACTCATACTTCCGTTACATTTGTGAAATTTGAAGAATCACAGGTAATATTTTTATTCTATTAATGTACTGTGTAAGTACATCATAATTCTCATGAAAGTTTTAGACATGTACTGTTTTACAGGAACCAAGAATTCAACAAACTAATCATAAAAAGTTTCCCATCTACCAGACAATCAATGGAGAAGTAGTACTAAACGATGTCAAGACTTTCACTCTGTTTGAAGTATACAATCACACTGTTTGTTGGAAATATGGAGTGGATAATCAGAAAATGAGAAGTAGTAATGATCTCCAAAAATGCATTTGTATTCATGGATGGCATGGGTCAGACTGTGGCCAACCAGAAGTTGTCTGGAGAGCAATCATGGCATCTAAGCAAAACGTTAAACTAAAACATCGTAAAATAGCTAGACGTATTATTCATACATTTTTTCTACATGAGTATAACTCAGCAATTGCAGAGGTGATAGTAGAAGAACTATACAATGTAGTAGATCTTTTTGTAATCTGTGATTTCAGTAATGCAGAAGATAATTTTCATCATAAGCTACTTAAGGGTTTATTACAACAGAAACAGAGGAAGATTTTATATATTAATATAGCAACAAGGGTGCACAAACCATCGAGAATAGTGTCTAAATACATTTGGGATAAAATAAAGACTGTAGTACGAAATTTAAGGGATGATGATATTTATATTACGACTGAACCAGAACAAATATTAAACTCCAGGGCATTAATGTTCCTCAAGGTATATAATGGATGGCCACAACCTATTGGTTTTAGATTAAGATGGTCCGTTTATGGATTCTTCTGGCAACATCCACTTAAAACAACGATAACAGTTGGTGCGTGTACGATCGGACTAATGCGGGAAGCTTATCAATCAAATTCTATCATGTTAGAACAACTGGAAGGAGATTTGAGTGCAAGAGATAGTCTAGGTCTAGTAATAGGAGATTTAAATCATTATGGAGGGTGGTACTGTTACCTATGTCAGGCACCTGCAAACATTATAACTAGTTTACATAATAAAGTTAAATCCAAAGAAATTCAAATAGAAAAGACTATCGACGTACCATTCATTGAGGACCTAATAGGAAGTGGATTGTGGCTAGATGGGAAAACTAATCTTTTAAGAGTCTCTAAATCTCGGGACCTCTATTTTGCGCCTGAAACAATACTTAATAATACATGGAAGTACGACTGGCTAGTAGAAAATTTTTATGCTAAATTAGACTATTATTGACATATTGGTCACACCTGACTGTGATATTAACTTATACTCAATACTCAATGTAAACTATAATATATGATATTGTACTGAATTTATATACCAAAATAATATGTTGAATGAATTATAAATGTTAAATGATTTGTATACATATAACTTATAAAGAAATCAGTTATAATTGTTTTTCTTACTTGAATATATCCTTTCATATACTACCAAAGAAATTTACTTGTGTACATTCATTTACCTAATTTTTATACAACTTACCAATTAAACTTTAGTAAACCCAATGAAGTAGATATATATGGAAGCATGAAATACAATGAAAATTGATGTGCTTTCCAAAGATCCCCTGATAACTCTATTATGTTAAACAGAAGGATGCTCATTGAAATCACTAAGCTTTGTCCAACTTCTAAACCATTTATACCAGCTAATATGTTTATGGCATTTGTACAAAACACAGCTAGCATCCCCATATATAAATAATAAAATATCCAAAGATCCACTGAGAAACCAAACCATGGTCTCAAAGGTTTTGGCACAATAATTAGCGTAGAGTTAAAATTAATATAGTACACCATTAAGAGTGGTAAGGAGGCAATGGTTGGTAACAGTAATTTATGCCGCCAACGAAGATCCAGAACATCATCAGCAAAACCCAAAAGTAACATACAACAAATTGATAGAAGAGCAGCCAAAAACTCCATGAACTGTAATTGAAATTTGACATATATTCACATAAAACATGTGAATAACATAATACTTCCTATAAATTATTGGCTGCATACCTCACTATGAGGAAAGTTTATGTCACTAAATATGTAGTTTGTGAAAGGTATGGGAATAAACAGAAACAGTGTTATAAGGAAGAGACATCCAGTAACAACACCTAAAGCTTCTGGCCTGTAAAAGAATTGGGATATACATTATTACCTGTACCCAAATTGGTGTCCAATAGAAGAAAAACTGAAGCTACTAAATATTACATAGCTTCAATAAACTCACTTACACTTTATCACCACTCTTTTTGTTCATGTCAATACCATATAGGTTAGCTTTAATAAACATATTTTTTATTTTCGGAATTAAACGTATCGCTAAAAAATATGCACCAATAGACATCGTGAAATTAATTAAAATCGGAAAAATAAATTTCCATGTATCCTTGTTGCTTATCGCGTTAAACATTTTTATGATCGTGGAAAAGTATAAAACAAATCATGTGTATAAAACGAATGAGTGACGTGGGTGATATTACAGATATTACTAATTATCTGTCGTTGTTTAATATAGATAATGTAAACGTAATGCCACCTCTTTTAAAATAGTGCATGAAAAAACGATGTTTTAACGTACGCATTGTTTACCCCTCAAATATGAACGCATCAGACACGTTATACAATTACAGTACATAGGTAGGCATAGAAATCAGTTACAAAATTTGACTCCAATTTATGGAATTTTAATAACGATGTATTAACAAAATATTTTCCTTTTGTTTTTTCTTAGTGTCTGGTTTATAACATAGACATTTTGTCATTACCTTACATATATTAACGATAAGTGTTTTGCATTGTTTCCTTGAAAATTTTTGTAAACTAGAATCAAACTTTTAATAGTGGTAAAAAATTAATCTAAACATTTATTTCGACTTTATTGCTTATCTTCAATGACATTTTTTTTTTAATCAATATATGGATTTGTTGTTAAAGAGTGTGTTCGTTTTTCTTAGAATAAATTGAGGTAATGTAACGTTGGCATTTTTTGATGGTCGTTAGTTAAATATAACTTATTAGGTCGCATTTGTTTTATCGGTTTTCACTTCTGGTGTACATCGTTAATTATATGCATTAATTTTAATCGAAAAGTGTAGCGCTAGTGATTTTTAATCAGTTTTCCATGTTATAACCTAGAACTGTCAAATACAAAGTATTTTTTCTTTACAACTAAAAATTACATGAAATATCGGCACCTGTGTACATTAAAATAAAATACATAGAAATTTTTCATAAAATTTTGTGTTTTCCAGTGCTGATACAAGCTCAATATTATATTTTTTTTTTACTATTAGTCATCTAATCCATATAGATGGATAATGAAAAGCAGAAAGATGAAATTGCTGCATTGGAAAGTATTTACAATTCAGAAGAATTTTCATATCATAAGGAGAATGGACATTATCAATGTACTTTTATGATATTCATAAATCTTCCTATGGATTACCATGTAATTTATAAAGATTCTAGACAAGTGGATGAACTCGAGCAAAAGATTAAAATATCTCATTTACCACCTTTAGCACTCCATGTTATTTTGCCAGAAAATTATCCTTCTCAGTTACCGCCTAAGTTTGCTTTATATTCATCTTGGTTACATCTGCCACTACTCAGTAAGCTGTGTAAAAAGTTAGACAAACTATGGGAAGAAAACAAAGGGCAAGAGATTTTATTTACATGGATGGCCTTTTTACAAGGTGAGATTTTGGAATTCTTAAATGTACAAGAGAACCTTGATATGAGTCAGATATATACATGCTATAAAGAAGCTTATAATATCCAGAAAAATAAAATAGCAGATAATGTAGAAAAAGAATGTACTGTTGAAGATGCAAAAATAAAGGCAAAGATGGAAGCTAGTGCTAAACATTTAAGTAAAAAAAATTTAATACAAAAACGTTATGATAAAAGAGCTATTTTAGATTGCCCTATTGGGAAAAATCCCATTCAATCATTAATCGATTACAATGAAAATCGTATTCAAATTGAATTCCAGAAAAACTTCTATACTTGCAAGATTTGTTTTGTGGATAAATTAGGGAAGAATTCTACACAGTTTTTTCCCTGTGGTCACATATTCTGTAAGGATTGCGTAACTGGTTACTTAGAAGTAAGAATTAAAGATGGAAATGTGCAGAATATTTATTGTCCTGAAGAAAAGTGTTCTTCTGAAGCAACTCCAGCTCAGGTAAACTTTTTTCTCCTAAATAAAATCGAAGTTTATTACTAATTGTAAATAAATACTTTTCAGATAAAAGATTTACTAAGTCCAGAATTATTTGCAAGATATGATTCTATATTGTTAAGTGTCACACTAGGTACTATGGGAGACATAGTGTATTGCCCAAGACGTACTTGTCAATATCCAGTTAGTCGTGAACCAAATGAACAAATGGCAAACTGCCCAATGTGTCAATATGCATTTTGCATTTATTGCAAAATGGTATATCATGGAATAGAACCATGCAAAGCTTATTCAGGTATATTTCTATGAACTATGTTTAATAAATGTTTAGTAGTCTGTCGATATGTATTTATTATATACATTACACAAAGAATTCAACAATTAAGTTGTTAATTTCTTTTTATTTTTACAGCTGAGGTACATAAAGTAGTATCTGAATATCAAGAAGTCACCGGTGATAGAAAACTGCAAATGGAACTACATTATGGTAAAAAGCAACTTCAAACATTAGTGGAAAATGTTTTATCTGAAAATTGGATTAAAAGTAACAGTCAGAAATGCCCTAAATGTCAAGCTGCCATTGAGGTATTAAAGGTTGTTCAAAGTTTTGTCATATGAGACATATGTATAATGTTATTTTTTGACAGAAATCAGATGGCTGCAACAAAATGACTTGTTGGCGTTGTAATACATTCTTCTGCTGGTTATGTAGTACTATTCTCGATCGCGATTGGCCGTACGAACATTTTGAAAGTCCGAGTTCTGAGTGCTGCAACAAGTTATTTTACGCAATGGAAATACAAGAACAAGAAGAGGAAGAAGAGGAAGAGGAAGAGGAAGAAGAGGACCAATAAGAAGAAAAAGAGCAAGAACAAGAAGAATCGAATAGAACATGATCATGTTGAAAAAAGAAAATTAGTAGCTATCGTTATTTTTTACGCGGATCTATTATATTGTGAATTTTTAAGTTGCGAAAAGTATAAAACGCGTCTTAATTAGAATTCATTTCAAATTGTACATTTTTGCTTTTTACGTAACACCCGAAGTTTTTAGTGTTCTGGATATTTATCTGTACATTTGTGCCTGTACAAAAATTAACGTACAATAAATGTGTATATTTTTGCCGATTTATTGTATGAACATTAAATATCACCTATATGAGGTATTATTTTACTAAAACAATTTCGTATAAACAATTAATGTTTATACTACTCAATTATACTTTGATGCTCATGGAAAAACGAACTATAAACATTGTAAACGATACTTGGAAACCTAATCTAATAAAAGGCAATTATTTAATACAAAAGGTATGGGGTATCTTTTTATAAATTCAAAAATATATGCGTTACTGATGACAATATCTCTTTATTTACCAAAAAGAAAGATATCAAAACAGTGAATAATAATCGCGCGCTATTTAGTATTCTTCGGCGCCTTCTCCTTCACCTTCGGCGGAATCCATACCAACTTCTTCATAGTCCTTTTCGAGAGCTGCGAGATCTTCACGAGCCTCAGAGAACTCACCCTCCTCCATACCTTCGCCTACATACCAGTGAACGAATGCACGTTTAGCATACATCAAGTCAAATTTGTGGTCAAGACGAGCCCAGGCTTCCGCGATAGCGGTAGTGTTAGATAACATGCAAACGGCACGTTGTACCTTTGCAAGATCACCACCAGGCACTACAGTTGGTGGCTGGTAGTTGATGCCAACTTTAAATCCAGTCGGGCACCAATCAACAAACTGAATGGTGCGTTTCGTTTTAATGGTAGCGATCGCCGCGTTCACGTCTTTGGGTACGACATCACCTCTGTATAACATACAGCAGGCCATGTACTTTCCATGGCGTGGATCGCATTTTACCATCTGGTTGGCTGGTTCGAAACACGCGTTCGTAATCTCTGATACAGAGAGTTGTTCGTGATATGCCTTCTCTGCTGATATGACAGGTGCGTACGTTACTAACGGGAAATGAATCCTGGGATAGGGTACCAAGTTTGTTTGGAATTCAGTCAGGTCAACGTTCAACGCACCGTCGAATCGCAGAGAAGCTGTAATGGAGGACACAATTTGGCCGATCAGTCGATTCAAGTTAGTATAAGTAGGTCTTTCGATGTCCAAATTACGACGACAGATGTCATAGATGGCCTCGTTGTCAACCATAAATGCACAATCGGAATGTTCAAGAGTAGTGTGCGTGGTGAGAATTGAATTGTATGGCTCGACGACCGCAGTTGACACTTGCGGGGCAGGGTAAATGGCAAATTCCAATTTAGACTTTTTGCCGTAATCGACAGACAGACGTTCCATCAAAAGAGATGTGAATCCAGATCCAGTGCCACCTCCGAAAGAATGGAAGATGAGGAAACCTTGAAGGCCAGTACATTGGTCTGCCAATTTACGAATTCTGTCTAATACAAGATCAACAATTTCCTTTCCAATAGTGTAATGACCACGTGCATAGTTGTTAGCTGCATCCTCCTTGCCAGTGATTAACTGTTCTGGATGAAACAGCTGACGGTATGTACCAGTTCGTACTTCATCTAAAAGTAGAAATTAATTAGAAATTTCCGTCCTATGAAATATAATAAATAAATTATAATCAAACAGAATTAATTGATATTTACCAACTACTGTGGGTTCCAAATCAATGAAAACTGCTCTAGGTACATGTTTCCCTGCACCGGTTTCACTAAAGAAGGTGTTGAAACTGTCATCACCTCCACCAATGGTTTTGTCAGATGGCATTTGGCCATCAGGCTGGATGCCATGTTCCAAACAATATAATTCCCAACAGGCATTACCAATCTGGACACCAGCTTGTCCAACATGAACTGAGATACATTCACGCTAAAACAAAATTGCAAAAATGTATAATACTTATTCAACAATTTACAAAAATCGTGTAATATTAAATGTAATATGTTTAATAACCAGTATTAAATTTTTATAATATTAAAAAATGACTATGTCGCTTGAAAGTGAACGGACATGAAAAATGAATTACCGTAACTTAAATTACTTTAAGACAAATTAACAAATTAAAATTATATAAAGTTTATAAAATCAAAGATTCTAATAAAGCTTATGTAGTAAGTAGTTGAACTTAAAAACAAAAAGTATCGAAAAGTACGTTAATGCAATCTGGAGCCGAAGGCCGGCCGGCATTTAACCGTTACAAAATGGCAGCCACTCCCAAGCAACTTAGTCGTATTTTAATTTTCTTTCGTATCTATCAAATACTGACAGAATTAAAACTTACCATTTTGTAGTGTAAAGTAGACTCTCACAATTCTTTAAAAAAAGTAGAAATGAACGCAGAACGTCGATAGTTAGCTAAAGCAAGTAATGGAGCTTTCGCTAACAATTACGATACCACTACTCAGTTATTCGTCAAACGAATGCATCATCCGCCATTGGAACAGCCTTATATACCTTCGGTAGGCGATTCGTCAGCGCACGCTGATTGGTCATCGATGGCCTCATTCCCTTTCCTGATTGGTCTTTTTTCGACTGCAGTACCCACGACACTAAACACGGTCCTTATACGGAAAATATAGTCCCTGTATTAACGATGTAATCGCTTATTTCATTGGCATTAACATGAATATATTCATTTACTACCGTGCACACGACTACCAGCGAAGAAAATTAATTTTTGGTCGAATTATTCGGACAATGGATGGAAAAATAAGGATATTTTTTATGCAAAAGTGCAGTTGCGATGCGCGATGGTTTCCTCCATATTTGGATTGTGCATTGTGATTGGTGACTCACGTAATTCATGTGTCCCCCTTGTAACGAAACGTAATCTACATATGTAGTAGCATTTTTATCGTAAAATAATTTAAACTTGAAGATATTTTATACAAAGAAATTAATTGAAAAGAAAGATTTTTGATATTTCCATTATCCTTGCCATATATATAAATATGGACGATTTTACATTAAATAATACACAAGTGAGACACATGTGTACACGATGTAATTTTTAGATTTGTTAACTTTTTTAATATTGCTGCAATTGGTATTGTTCAAGGTTAAAATTTAATACTTTCATTTTATTAAATCGAAAAATTTTTAATCTGCCAAAGTATATGGGGTTTACGGTATATGGATTATGTACACCCATATAAGGTATTGATCTTGTCTCCGTATACCGGGTGTTCCGGAGACGTCACTACAATTAGAATCACGTAAATATATTAAAATTGTCATAGTACAAATTTTAACAAGTATAATTTCAATTCTTGATAAAAGTAAGTAAAAAGTAATAACCAAATTAATTCATAAAAATAGTAACAACATCCAAAAAAAGAAAAAAAATGATAACTAAATAATTTAAAGCATGCAAATAACATTTTATTTAATAATTCTATGTATTTTAAACAAAATTAATAATATTTTTTAATAATTGGAGGAA